TACATATATATATAAAAATACTAGTTTGCTAGTAAAAGTCCTTGTCTGGCAGGGGTTGGGGGGGTTAGGTTAGTATTATTACTGATACTTTGACATGTGAGCAGTATTTAATGTTTATATTGGGTCGTTTCATCTTTAACAGTGTATGAAAATTATAATCTGTGAACTAACTACAGTATTCAGATAAATGTAGCACAGTTGAAGTACTCAGGTAAAGAAAATTACAAAATTATTTTGATAAATCGCCCACGTTCTAAAATTCTAAACGGTTAGCCAAAAAATTATTCAGTTAATTAGTCGAATGGAAGTTTTGAGTCTGTTCAATATGAAATGCATGATGGGATACATGTCGACTAAATTCATCTCCTGAAGCATCCTGGGTAACATGACGGGGGCTGTTCAGGGTTAAATCCAGACAGTGTATGTGTCTTTTTGCCACAGGCTCTGGATTGGCTGCAGCAGTCAGGTGACCACTACCTGTCTACGCACACGTCGCCAGGGGCAACAGTGACCGAGACGCAAGAACTGCTGAACCAGCACCGAGAGTTCTGCGTGTCGGCCAAGGTGAGAACGCACCCACAGATGTGCGTACATACATGTATGACGACCGTCACTCACCTGTCGCTCTGCCTCTCAGCACACACAGGAGAAGGTTCACCTGCTCATCCAACTGGCTGAGAGCATGCTGGCCAAAGGCCACGCCCACCGCGCCGAGCTCCGCCGCTGCGTCTCCACTGTGGATAAACGTTACCGCGACTTCACCGTCAGGATGGGGCAGTACCGTCACCTGCTGGAGACGGCGCTCGGAGGCTGCTCGCAGGTACGAACATTATAGTAAAGTAAAGTCGTAGTATTTGGAAGTAAAGTAGTATTTAGTAGTTAAATTGTAGTATTTGGTAGTAAAGTCGTAGTTTTCAGAAGTTAAGTCATAGTCTTTGGAAGTTAAGTCGTAGTTTTCAGAAGTTAAATCGTAGTCTTTGGAAGTAAAGTTGTAGTTTTCGGAAGTAAAGTCGTAGTATTTGGAAGTTAAGTTGTAGTTTTCAGAAGTTAAATCGTAGTCTTTGGAAGTAAAGTCATAGTATTCTGTAGTACTCTGTGTGTACTTTTAATGACCATGCTGTACGGTGTCCCTGTCAGGACAATAAGGACTTGGAGCTGGAGCTGATCCCCAACAGTCTGTCTGACTCGGACCCCGAGGTCAACCTGTCTGACCCGAGTCACCAAGTCAGCGATGAGAAGAGACGCTCCGCCCGCAAGAAGGAGTGAGTACAAGTACTACAAGTACTGTGACTGTGTGAGTACTGTCAGAGTGAACATGCTGTGGTGACATGTGTGTGTTCTCAGGTACATCATGGCTGAACTCCTCCAAACAGAGCGAGTCTACGTCAGAGACCTGCAGGAGTGTATCGAGGTACACACTTCACATCACAGTACTGCAACACTACGCAGTACCACACAGTACCACTGAGTACAGTCCACACAATGTCCTGCATTACACAACACCACAGAGTACTCACACCAACAGCACCCTCTGCTGGCAGAAGTACACACCACACTGATACAGAGCAGAAGAACCACAGCTCTGATAAGTACTTATACCACGTAGTACTACATCAGAGTGGAGGGTACTTCCTGTACTGCAGTAATACTTTCTCCTGGTGCAGACGTACCTGTGGGAGATGACGAGCGGCTCTGAGGACGTCCCACCTGGTCTGTCCAACAAGGACGAAATCGTGTTCGGAAACATCCAGGACATCTACGAGTTTCACAACAGGTACTACGAAGTACACTAACAAGTACACTAAGAAGTACATTAAGAAGTACACTGCTGTACATGTGCTACAGTGGACACATCCAGGACGTCTACGAGTTTCACAATAGGTACTGTGAGATACACTATAACTTAAGTATTTATTTGTACTCTGTGTGTTGCAGTATTTTCCTGAAGGAGCTGGAAAACTACGAACAGCTTCCTGAGGATGTCGGACACTGCTTTGTTACCTGGGTAACCAGTTTGTTTGTTTGTTTTTAATGAAGTAAAAATGTAAACGAGCATGTTAATAAAGTGATAAATGTTTTGTTTTTGTGTGTGTGTGTGTGTGTGTGTGTGTGTGTGTGTGTGTCAGGCGGATAAGTTCCACATGTACGTGACGTACTGCAGGAACAAACCGGACTCCAGTTTACTGATCCAGCAGCACGGCGTCGGATTCTTCGAGGTTTGTTTACTGACGACATCTGTTGACTTATCGATTATTAATAATCCTAAATCAACTGTCTGTCCTTCACTGAGAACATTCACTACAAATGTACCGCAATGTCACTCCTTCAGGAGACATCCAGGAAATCTCAGAGTAAGAGAGTCTCTGTGTGGATGGAGACTTTGGACCCTGAGGCTGAACTGGTTTGAAACCAGTGACCTGAAAAATAATTTAGTGTTTTCACAGCCGGTCAGCTGAACACGCAACGAGCCAGTCTCCTCGGGGATGGGGCCATTTTACTATGACCTCAGTACACAGAGACGTCTGTCAGTGTCCTGTCTTCAATTAAAGCTTTAGTTGTTTCAAAAGATAAAACAATTAATTTCTGCTTCTGATATTTTTAATTTTTTTTTAATGAAATGTTTCATAGTTTTATATTTTTATATTTTATTTTCATACATTTCCAGAACATAATTCTGAATGTTGGACAAAGCATGGATCAAAATTGGTTTCATTTTGTTGACATAAAAATCAAAAGAGAGGGATGATGGAATTTTTAATCTCTTTTTATCACTCCATAAATGAGAAAAAAAGCAGCCATAAATATCAAATTTGCCATATTTTTAGGAATAAAAAGCTCTATAAATCCGTGCCCAAATAATATATGAACAAACCCTCTGTACAAACCTCCAGAATATAGACAGGAATAAAACTATATAAGAAATACTGAAGTTGAGATTTATAAGTCAGAATTTTTAAAAAAAAAAAGACCTTTAAAGAAATGTTTTGTAAAATTCCAACATTTTCAATTAAAAAAAAACAAAAAAACAAACAGTCACTATCATGAAACTTCTTTAGTTGATCACTTACATTGGGACAAATATTTTTCGTAGTACAGGTTTTCGATGAATTTTATGTGTAAACATTGAACTGATGCATTATCTGATGAAATATGAGCTGATTTTCATACATTTCTGAACACTGGACAAAACGTGGATCAAAAGTCTTGTTTACTGTTGTTGACATATTAGAGTCAAAGGTTTTACAGAGGGATGTTTGGATATCTCTTATCACTCCATAAATCAGAAAAAAAACCTGCCATAAAAAAAAAACATTTTCACCATGTTTTTAGGAATAAAACGTTCCGTCAATCAGTCTATGAATAACGTATATGAATATATGAACAAGCACCTTTCTAACAAACCTTCAAAATACAGACAGGAATTAAAGTGGAGAATTTGGTGTCTGTAAGTGCTGCTGAAGCTGAGAGTTATGACTCAGACCATTAGAGATATGTTTTGTAGAATTCCAACATTTTTTCAACATTTAGACACTCAGGTAAAGAAAATCTTAGCTAATAGACATCATCATGAAACTTGCCTCGTTGATACCTGTTATAAAAACAATTATTTATTATATAACAATTCTCCTTAAATTTAAAGTTTGAATATAAAAATTAAGCATTATCAAATTTTTCATACATTTTAAGAACATAAATCTGAACTTAAAAAACTAAATGTGTATTTGGATGTCGTCTGAAAGAAGACGTGTTATCAAAGCAAAATAAATCAAGTTAGAGGTCAGTTAGTTAATGTATGAGAAAACAGTTTTCACCTGCAGTGTCGCGACTGAATTTCTCAGACTTTAAAGGCCAAAACACACCGGCGGCGTCATATGACAGCGGCGTCATTGACGCGAGTCAAGTGCTGCCCCCAACACACACAAAAAGCGTCGCGCTGCAGGGCGTCAACTGGATTTCTATTGCACACTCCAGTCCACTAGGTGGCGGTACTGGTTGCCAACCGCGTTTTCAAGGGCGGTGACGCTGGAAAAATAGGACAATAGCGTGAAGTGCCGCAGCGCGGCACATCGACGCGCGTCGAGCCACTGCCGGCGTGGGTTTGTAAATAGAAAATAATGGGGGCGGCTGTTTTGACGTGTGTCGTACGGCGCCGGTGTGTTTTGGCCTTAAGAGCTCAGTTCAGTTGATGCTGTTGTTGGCTTTGTGCTAATATGGCAACCACTGGTCCAGAGCGAGTCACAGTATGAAATAAATGTTGATCAGTGAAGTTACAATGTTTTTAACTGTCGTGTGAACGCTTGTTGTGTGCAGGAGGTGCAGAGGAGACACGGCCTGGCTAACTCCATCTCCTCCGCTCTCATCAAACCAGTTCAGAGGATCACCAAATACCAGCTGCTGCTCAAGGTACGTCTTTTTGTCGGTCCACAGAAATCCTTCAGACCAAAACTGTTGTTAAAGTTTGTGACGGTCGACCTCCAGTGATTTCACACCAATTCAAAGCTGCTCACTTCATGAAATCAAAATACTAATCTTTGGACTGTAACTTTAAAAAAAGCACAAAATGATTACGTTTTTAGACGAGCCGAAACACATTTAATACATTTATTATAAAATATACATTGACCAGTACCTGAGCAGCACCTTTCTAGAAACCAGTTACTGAGACGAAGCTTACGTTAGCTAAAAACGTGTTACAGAGAAATCCATTATTTCTTTTGCTATCAAAGCTAACATTAGCTAATGTGCTAAAAAGCTAGCATTTGTTTTTGCTATTAACTTCTCCTCCGTCCTGTGGGGGACGGTCAGGTTTATGTTGTCGCCCAGCTCATGTCTCTGGTCCCGTGATTTGTGGACTGATGTGTGTGTATATGTCCATAGGAGCTGTTAGCGTGCTGCGAGGAGGGGAAAGGAGAGATAAAGGAAGGTCTGGACGTCATGCTGAGCGTCCCCAAGAGAGCCAACGACGCCATGCACGTTAGCATGCTGGAAGGTAACGCAGATCATTGTCCTCACAGGACGACATGACTCCACATGAGACATGTTTAAAGACACTAACCGGCTGCGACGTCCCCGGCAGGTCTGGAGGAGGGTCTGGAGGTGCAGGGCGAGCTCCTCCTGCAGGACTCCTTCCTGGTTTGGGAGCCCAAGTCCCTGATCAGGAAGGGGCGGGACAGACACCTCTTCCTGTTTGAGCTGTCACTCATCTTCAGCAAGGAGATCAAAGACTCATCGGGACGAACCAAATATCTGTACAAGAGCAGGCTGAGGGTGAGACACACGTCCATCAGCCATGAGACACACGTCCATCAGCCATGAGACACACATGTCCATCAGCCATGAGAGACACACGTCCATCAGCCATGAGACACATGTCCATCAGCCATGAGAGACACACGTCCATCAGCCATGAGACACACGTCCATCAGCCATGAGACACACATGTCCATCAGCCATGAGACACACGTCCATCAGCCATGAGACACACATGTCCATCAGATATTAGACACACATGTCCATCAGATATTAGAGACACATGTCCATCAGCCATGAGACACACGTCCATCAGCCATGAGACACACATGTCCATCAGCCATGAGACACATGTCCATCAGCCATGAGACACACGTCCATCAGCCATGAGACACACGTCCATCAGCCATGAGAGACACACGTCCCTCAGCCATGAGACACATGTCCATCAGCCATGAGAGACACACGTCCATCAGCCATGAGACACACGTCCATCAGCCATGAGACACACATGTCCATCAGCCATGAGACACACGTCCATCAGCCATGAGACACACATGTCCATCAGATATTAGACACACATGTCCATCAGATATTAGAGACACATGTCCATCAGATATTAGAGACACATGTCCATCAGATATTAGAGACACACATAATCACAGACACACGTCAACATTAAAAACACATGACATCGTCATTTAAAGACAAAACTAAACTACAGGTCTGAGGCTTTATTTTCATACTGGACCTTTTACTTGTATGTTTTGGTGGTTTATGGGGACATTTACCGTCTGTCCTGCATCTCTCTCTCTCTCTCTATCTCTCTCTCTCTGTCTCCCTTTCTCTGTCTCATTGTGTCATATGGATTACTGTTAATTTATTATGCTGATCTGTTCTGTACGACATCTATTGCACGTCTGTCCGTCCTGGAAGAGGGATCCCTCCTCAGTTGCTCTTCCTGAGCTTTCTACTGTTTTTTTCCTGTTAAAGGGTTTTTTGGGGAGTTTTTCCTGATCAGCTGTGAGGGTCATAAGGACAGAGGGATGTCGTATGCTGTAAAGCCCTGTGAGGCAAATTGTGATTTGTGATATTGGGCTTTATAAATAAAATTGATTGATTGATTGATTGATTGATTTAACTCATATTATAGGTGGTTTATGGGGTGTATTTAGACGTCAAGTTTACTGTCAATAATCTGTATGAAATGGTCCTTTACGACTTAAACTACATGCAAAGTAAACAAGTATGTCCAGATTACTGAAGCATGGTCTATGGGGACACATAAACTTATGGGGACACATAAACTTATGGGGACACACCACTTTGTTCTACAGAAACAGACAGAAAAAGAAAATGTGATCACCTGTCTCTAAAACACTCTCACTTCCTGTCGCTGTCTCAGACCTCAGAGCTCGGGGTCACGGAGCACATAGAAGGGGATCCCTGTAAGTTCGCTCTGTGGGTCGGACGAACGCCAACGTCCGACAACAAGACGGTCCTGAAGGTGCGTGCCCCCCCCCACCCCCCCCCACCACACACTGATGTTGTGTTAACACACTTCAAAGGTTCGTGGACCATCTACCTGTCATCCTCTGTCTCCACAGGCGTCTTCGCTGGAGCTGAAGCAGGAGTGGGTCCGCAGCATTAGACAGGTGATCCAGGAGAGGCGGGGACACCTGCGGGGGGCGCTGCGGGAGCCCATCCCCCTCCCCAAGACACCAAACCCCACCCTGGGGCGACAGCGCAGCATCAGCCGCAGGTCAGCGCTCATAGTTAACATGTCCACGTTAGATTCCTCCCACCATGTGATCCGTCAGCTCTCCTAAACATAACTGACCTTTGACCTCTGTGCAACGGCCGTGACCTCCGGAACATTCTGTCCTCTGAATTTTTTAAAGTGATGCACCAAACACCATTCAGAAATCACTGCGTTACGCTGCCAGCAGTGGGAGAAAAGTTAAAATCATGATGTGTAGAATTCAGGGACGGCTAAGGATTTTTAATTACCCCTTAACTGCTCCTTCAACTGTGCAGAAAATCCATTAAAAAAACCCTCAACATGTTGTAAAAAATTAATTTATCAATAATCACCAATTTTGGGGTGAGTGCCTGAAATTAACTGAACTCTCAAACTCTTTCTTGAGGTAAAAATGTAGGGATAAATGTAATGCTGATTAGTAAATTTGTGGGGGGGGGGATTACCCCCTAAAAAAACCTTACTCCATGCAGAAAACAGATTAAAATTCCTTCATGGAGGCAGATTTGTGTCAGTATGATCAGTGCAACAGATATTTCTTCTTTCTAACTTCCTAACATTTACAACTTTGAAACAGATATCTGTGACTATCTTCCTAACATTTACAACTTTGAAACAGATATCTGTGACTATCTTCCTAACATTTACAACTTTTGAACAGATAATTGTGACTATCTTCCTAACATTTACAACTTTGAAACAGATATCTGTGACTATCTTCCTAACATTTACAACTTTGAAACAGATATTTGTAACTATCTTCCTAACATTTACAACTTTTGAACAGATAATTGTGACTATCTTCCTAACTTTTACAACTTTGCAAAAGATATTTGTGACTGTTCCTAACATTTATAACTTTTGAACAGATATTTGTGACTATCTTCCTAACATTTATAACTTTTGAACAGATAATTGTGACTATCTTCCTAACATTTATAACTTTGAAACAGATATTTGTGAAATTTGTTTGTTTTATTTTAATAATCAGTTATTTTGTTTTATATTTACAGATTACACATTTACACTGATTGTCTTCTGACACAAATAATATTGACACAAATGTGCCTCCACACATCCTTTAATATGCAGCTGAGGCTTCATGTAAATCACAACCCCTTTAATCTTATTAATATGTAAGTCAAGGGGAAATTCTCCCTTAAATGCACTTACTTAAGGGCTTTTTGAATATCAGTGTCCTTTTTAAAGTACAATACGAACACGCCTTAATTTAGGTGATTTGAGTGTTAGTTGTGTTTTAAGGGATAAATTAAGGGACCAAACTGAACTGAAACATGTGGAAAGGGCGTCCACATACTTTTGGCCACAAGGTGTATTTTACATCACTCAGGAAAAACATGTCTCTCTGTCTGTTTCTCTGTCTCTGTCTCACTGTCTCACTGTCTCACTGTCTCTCTGTCTGTCTCAGGGAGACCAGTGAGGACGCAGACAGTCTGGGTGATGCCAGCAGTCAGCCTGACACCGTCTCCATCGCCTCCCGAACGTCACAAAACACTGCAGACAGCGACAAGGTAACACACACACACACACACACACACACACACACACAGTGTGTATTAGGAGGGGTGTGTCCCACAGTCTTATGACCTCACCGCTGCAGCAGCTGGCTGGGTGTGTGTGTGTGTGTGTGTGTGTGTGTGTGTGTGTGTGAGAGGGAGTTTCCTCTCTTCAGTCGTCAGATTGTTTTCTCGAAACTTTCTCCTCTTCTCTGCTCTGCTCACAAGGTACGTTTGATTTCTTTACCTGTTCTTACATGAAGTAAGTAGTGTGGGTGGGGTCGGCGGCCGTGACCTCTGACCCCACCCACACCGGCTGTGAGCTGTTGGTGTTCAGGATGGAGGAACTGAAGCTAGTTGCAGTGAAACTAACGTGGACTGGAGACTGAGGTGGATTCAGCAGACCATGTGTCTGAAGAACAGACTGTTAATTTAAAGAGCTAGCTAGCTGTGTAGCTAAGTTACATGTTAGCGGATCTGGTGTTAGCTGCTTCGTAACGTTGCTGGTGATGCTGGTGATGTCATTTGTAAACCAGCGCAGGAGTCTGGACGAATTAGCCGACGTTATTCACTCAAGACTTTATTTTGCTATGTTAGCTTGCTATAAATTCATCTGCATTAGCAAGCTAACATTAGCCTGCTAGCTGTATTTGAGCTACACTGTATTGATCTAGCGATGGTTGTTTCAAAACGTTAGAGTCATTTCATTGGATGAATTAAATAACATTATACAGTCAAGACAGTACTTTATTACGTTAGCGAGCTAGCTCCCCATTCGCAAAAAAAAGCTAAAGTTAGGTCACATTCGCTAGCTAAAACAAAAATATCACCATACATTTCATGTCAGTGTTTCCTCTAGGGTGTTTATCAGCATGGGGGGAGATTAAATTCAGGAGAGAGGAGGAGAGAGCAGTCAGCATCCTGTTGCATAAATTAGCTGATGTTATCCACTCAAGACAGTATTTTGCTACATTAGCTTAACTTTGTCCGCATTAGCAAGCAAGCTAACATTAGGCAGCTAGCTGTAACTAAGTCACACTGTATTGAGATAGCAATGGTTCCTTTGTAACATTAGCAGATTAAGTCATTTAATTTCACCAGGAAGATAATAACAAATGTCTGTTTGAAGGTTGTAAATGTTAGGAAGATAGTTATAAATGTCTGTTTGAAGGTTGCAAATGTTAGGAAGATAGTTATAAATGTCTGTTTGAAGGTTGTAAATGTTAAGAAGATAGTCACAAATATTTAAAAGTTGTAAATGTTAGGAAGATAGTCAAAGTGCTTTTTATTTACCTGTAAATTAATTAAATGTTCTCAGATATTTTTTTTTATTTGTTAAATTTATGTATTTGTGAAAACGTTTCGTTTACAAATCTTATTTGTTTTTGCACAAGTTGTTTATTATTTACAGATGACACACAAACACACAGACTGTTGATTTGTGTACATAATTAATATTGACACCGATCTGCCTCCGTAGCTCAGCTACACTGTGGTATTTGTACTTTCAGTAAAGTATCCGAGTACTTCTCCCAGCTGTGTCGCGTACATGTAGTGGAGTACAAGTACTGCTGTGGTGCTTTCCACTGTGTGTCTGTGTTGTCCTCACAGCTGTCTTCCATTTGGACGGGGAACACCCCGTCTGTCCCAGCAGACACTCTGAGTGTGTTTGTTTCTCACACCAGCTGGAGCCCACGTGCTCCGCTCAGAGATCTCAGCCAATCAGAGCTCAGCGCGCCCCACTTTGATTGGACGGGTGGAGAATGTGTTGGGTTACAGACGGTAACGATGCAGAGACTCATCTGTCTCTTTAATGTCCACACCCAGACAGCTGCAGCAGAGCTGATGTCACTGCAGGACACACCCCTCTGGACGAGATGTCTGTGGGACGTCCCTGCTACTGAGGACACTGCTACTGCTTTAAAATACTGTGTCTCACCTGTGTCCCTCTGTCTGTCCCTGCAGCTCTCAGGAGGCTGTGAGTTAGTGGTGGTGTTGTTGGACTTCACCTCCGGAGGACCAGGAGAGCTCAGCGTCCGCTGTGGACAGACTGTGGAGCTGGTGGAACGCTCTGCCGAACGGCCCGGGTGGTGTCTGGTCAGAACGACAGATCAAACGCCTCAGCAGGTAACCAATCAAACGTCTCCTCAGCAGGTAACCAATCAAACGTCCCCTCAGCAGGTAACCAATCAAACGTCTCCTCAGCAGGTAACCAATCAAACGTCCCCTCAGCAGGTAACCAATCAAACGTCTCCTCAGCAGGTAACCAATCAAACGTCCCCTCAGCAGGTAACCAATCAAACGTCTCCTCAGCAGGTAACCAATCAAACGTCCCCTCAGCAGGTAACCAATCAAACGTCTCCTCAGCAGGTAACCAATCAAACGTCCCCTCAGCAGGTAACCAATCAAACGTCTCCTCAGCAGGTAACCAATCAAACGTCCCCTCAGCAGGTAACCAATCAAACGTCTCCTCAGCAGGTAACCAATCAAACGTCCCCTCAGCAGGTAACCAATCAAACGTCCCCTCAGCAGGTAACCAATCAAACGTCCCCTCAGCAGGTAACCAATCAAACGTCCCCTCAGCAGGTAACCAATCAAACGTCCCCTCAGCAGGTAACCAATCAAACGTCCCCTCAGCAGGTAACCAATCAAACGTCCCCTCAGCAGGTAACCAATCAAACGTCCCCTCAGCAGGTAACCAATCAAACGTCCCCTCAGCAGGTAACCAATCAAACGTCCCCTCAGCAGGTAACCAATCAAACGTCCCCTCAGCAGGTAACCAATCAAACGTCCCCTCAGCAGGTAACCAATCAAACGTCCCCTCAGCAGGTAACCAATCAAACGTCCCCTCAGCAGGTAACCAATCAAACGTCCCCTCAGCAGGTAACCAATCAAACGTCCCCTCAGCAGGTAACCAATCAAACGTCCCCTCAGCAGGTAACCAATCAAACGTCCCCTCAGCAGGTAACCAATCAAACGTCCCCTCAGCAGGTAACCAATCAAACGTCCCCTCAGCAGGTAACCAATCAAACGTCCCCTCAGCAGGTAACCAATCAAACGTCCCCTCAGCAGGTAACCAATCAAACGTCCCCTCAGCAGGTAACCAATCAAACGTCCCCTCAGCAGGTAACCAATCAAACGTCCCCTCAGCAGGTAACCAATCAAACGTCCCCTCAGCAGGTAACCAATCAAACGTCCCCTCAGCAGGTAACCAATCAAACGTCCCCTCAGCAGGTAACCAATCAAACGTCCCCTCAGCAGGTAACCAATCAAACGTCCCCTCAGCAGGTAACCAATCAAACGTCCCCTCAGCAGGTAACCAATCAAACGTCCCCTCAGCAGGTAACCAATCAAACGTCCCCTCAGCAGGTAACCAATCAAACGTCTCCTCAGCAGGTAACCAATCAAACGTCCCCTCAGCAGGTAACCAATCAAACGTCTCCTCAGCAGGTAACCAATCAAACGTCCCCTCAGCAGGTAACCAATCAAACGTCTCCTCAGCAGGTAACCAATCAAACGTCTCCTCAGCAGGTAACCAATCAAACGTCTCCTCAGCAGGTAACCAATGACTGGTCCTCATATACCACAACAATTAACTTAGGTCCCCACTAGTCGTCCACAAAGCAACTGTCCCCACATGTCAGTAACTTGTCTCTTACACTGTGTTCCTGCAGGAGGGTTTACTGCCGATGAGCGCCCTCTGTCTGTCACACTCCCACAGTGCAGCCGACATGGAGGGGCTCATCCCGGCCTCCACCACTTCCTCCAGCACCTCCTCTACGTGCACCACCACCTCCTCCTCCTTCAACTCGTCCTCCACCACCACCACCTCGTCCTCCAACGCGTCCAACTCGTCCTCTAACGTCAGCGCCGGGAGGGGTGAGTATCTGACCAACATGTCTCCGCCCTCACATGACCTCATATTCCTGCACCAGCACTTCCTGTGTTTGCTCTACGTCACTTCCTGTTTACACAGAGGGAACTTTAAACATCCTCAGGCGACCCCACAGTGTTGTTGTGATGTCCCACATCCTGTCCGTCTCCGTCTCCGTGTCCACTAAATATTTAAATCCCAGTTTGTAAAGTTCACACACACCCACGGGTCTTTGTGTGTGTGTGTGTGTGTGTGTGTGTGTGTCTCCTGCAGCTCATAATCAACCAGGACTTTCCATACTTTTGAGGACACATCTGGAACTGTGTCTTATGTCTCTTTTGAGCTTCTGTCCAAGTCTGCAGTCCTGAGACGGACTTTACGTGCCGAAGACATTTTGACAGTTTAGGTACTGAGACAGCCAGAGGTGGACACATGTCTTTATGATGTCAGTCTATTAGTTCCTGTCCCCACAAGTACCGTAACAATACAAATGTCCCCCCAACTCACAAATAAAACAAACTAAATGTCCTTACAAGTAACAACTACAACAAAGAAAATGTCCCCACAAGTCACAATTTTAAAAAAAACTAAATGTCCCCACAAGTCACAAAGAAAATAAACTAAATGTCCCCACAAGTCACAATTTAAAAAAACGAAATGTCCCCACAAAGAAAACAAACTAAATGTCCCCAATAGTCACAATGTAAAAAAAGTAAATGTCTCCACAAGACACAAAGAAAACGAACTAAATGTCCCCACAAGTCACAATTTAAAAACAAACTAAATGTCCCCACAAGTGACAAATAAAACAAACTAAATGTCCCCACAAGTCACAATTTAATAACAAACTAAATGTCCCCACAAGTGATAACGATAAACTAAATGTCCCCACAAGTCACAATGATAAACTAAATGTCCCCACAAGTCACAATTTAAAAACAAACTAAATGTCCCCACAAGTCACAATTTAAAAACAAACTAAATGTCCCCACAAGTGACAAAGAAAACAAACTAAATGTCCCCACAAGTGAAGACAAAAAGCACCAGCATTAAAAGACAGATTAAAGTTGTGTATTATTGTTGAGTGTTGACAGAAAACATCTCCACAGAGTTCAGATTGGACCGCAGGACACAGTGAGAGTGTCTGAGGGGACGTCCTGCTCTTAGTGTGTATTGGCATGTTTCTTTTATTGTTAATATCATACATTGTTTTTTTTAACACTTATTTTATCCATTTTCTTATTTTAATGCATTTAGATTTGTTTTCATTGTATTTTTATCTTTATTTATACTTTATAAATTGTAATCATGGCATCTCTCTCCATAATTTTTATTTATTGTAATGTTTTATTCTGTTTATTATAAATACATTCTTATGTACATATTTATTTTTAATCATATTATTACGTTTGAATCCTTTTTCTTCACGTTTGTGTGCAGTTGATTTTTCCCATTGATTTTCTATATTTATTTCATTTTCATTCATCATAAGCACAAACATTGAGACACATCTATAAAATAAGTCAAATAAATGATTTGACTTATTTTATAGATGTGTCTCAATGTTTGTGTTTATTTGTTGTTGTTTAATTATAATATAAATATATATTATACAATTATTATGTTTTATTTTTTTAAATATGTAATTTATTTTGATTTTAGACAGAACATTTTTCCCGTCTATTTTTCCATGTTTATTATAATTTTTATTTTATTTATAACTGTTTTCCACAGTTTATTAAAATTTTTATTATTTTTGTTATTATTAATTTATTCTGTCAGATTTTTTTCTTTCTTTATTTTAACTACATTTGAACAGATTTTATTTCGTTACATTTATTCAGCAGTGACAGGAACTGATCCTCCTCCTGTTGGCCACGCCCACATACTATCTGGCCCCGCCCCATGTTGTTATGCCCCGCCCCCAGAGCTGTGACTGTAGCTCATTCAGCAGAGTCACAAACAGACGGCTGCGTCTCCGGCCGTGTCTTTATTTGAACCCGTGTGTGTGTATGTGTGTGTGTGTGTGCGTGTGTGTGTGTTGATGGACGGACGCTGAAGCATGCGGAGTAGCAGAGGTGCATGCTGGGATTGTTCTGCAGTTTGGGGATGGATTGTGAGAGAGGGAGAGGACGAGCGAGGTGGGTTTTAATGTGACAGAGAGACGAGTGTGTATATGTGTTTGTGTGTTAACGTGTGACGGAACAAGGTGACTGTGTGTCGACCTGTCGTCATGGCTACGCTGACATGTGTAGGAATGTAACCTGTGTTCATGTATGTGTGTGTCAAACAGGACATACAAGTTTCTCTGTAGGAGCTTTAGTCTACCATTAACTACCACACCCAACACACAATGTGTGTGTGTGTGTGTGTGTGTGTGTGTGTGTGTGCGTGTGCGCGTGTGTGTGTGTGTGTGTGTGCGCGTGTGTGTGTGTGTGTGTGTGTGTGTGTGTGCGTGTGCGCGTGTGTGTGTGTGTGCGTGCATGTGTGTGTGCGTGTGTGTGTGCAGGAGGTCGGTCCTCAGTGACCTGTCAGAGGACGACAGGAAGTAAAACTGTCTCACTCTCTGTTAATGTTTCACCTCAACTTTTCTGTGAATAAAAAACAGATCTGTGAAAAATACAAATTCACTCACACACACACACACACACACACACACACACGCACACGTTTGGTAAAAGAAAATATTTTGGTGATGTCAGAGTGTCTTTCTTTTCTTCAACGTCGTAGGAGACGGCGTGACTTATTTCTCTCATCGTACGGCACCTTTGTGTACGCTCGTCACGTGACTGCTGTTTAAGGCGACCGTAAATGTGCACACACACACACACACACACACACACACACAGGCGGCAAGGTGACGCCGGTGTGAGGCTCTGAATGTTGGATTAGATTTATTTCTGATGCCCCGTCTGACAACAACAATTTAGTATTTATTATTATAAAAATATTTTTAGCCAAATTTCTTTTAAATTATTATTTTTATAGATTTATTTATTTATTAATTTAATTTTTATTTTTCAGTTTGTATTTATGTATTAATTTGTTTTTATTTACTTATTTATTATTTGGTAAGTTCATTATTTTTTATAAATATTATTTTATTTATTCTGATTTATTTACTTTTTATTTTAATGAATTAATTTATTGTATTTTTCTATTTCTATGCATTAATTTGTTTTATTTATTTATTATTTAGTCAGTTGAATATTTTCAAAAATATCACTTTATTTACTCTTATTTATTTAAGTGTATTTTGTATTTTTATTTATGTATTAATTTATTATTTAGAAAGTTAATTGTTTCTTATAAATATTTCTTTATTTACTATTTATTTATAATTATTTCCCATATTTATTTATTTACTGTAGTGATTTATTTTTTAAATTTTATTTATCAAGTTAATTTATTTATCTTTTATTTATATCTAATTAGTAAACTGATTTTTCTATTTTTATTAATTTTGATTGATTATTTTTTTCATTTATTTATCCTGTTTTTATTTAGTTAGTTAATTTTATTTATTTATTTATGTTTATTTACATTTACTGTTTTTCCTTTTTTTTTTTATTTATTTAGTGTATATAGTTTTATTAACATTTACTTATTTACTCTTTATATTTGTTTATATATCTGTTTTTATTTAGTTTATTTTATAGAGATTTATTTATTCATATATAGTTTATGTGCACAGAGAAGGAGCTGCTGCCCTCTGGTGGCAGAGTCAGATTGAACACTGGCTAATATTATAAAATGATAAGAATAATAATAATAATAATAATGATAATAATATATAATATGTTTACTGAAAAAATATGTTTTTCAAAAGGTGCTTTTTTTTCAAATGCTTTATGTCAACAAGGCCTTGAGGGAATCTTTTTTTTTTTTTTATTTATTTATTTTTTAAATTTGGCACAAACGTCCAGTCAAGGATGATCTGATCTGATTTTGGTGGTTGAAGGTCAAAGGTCACTGTGACCTCATAAAACATGTTTTTGGCCACAACTCTTACAAAATAATGTTACTTATTATTGTTTATGGATTTGCCCTGTTTGGGATCAAACCCATTTGTTTATCTGTTTGTTTGTTTGTTTGTTTGTTTGTGTCTGCAGACTCCGCCCTGTACGGCTCCGAAGGTTCGGGGCTCCAGATCACTGCCCAAAGTGAGTCGACAGTCCAGTATTTACTCACCCTGCTGACGGACAGTGAACTCATCTTCTTCTTAATCATCATCATCATCATCATCATCGTCTTGTTGTTTGTCTCCCTCAGGTGCCACCTCCCCCACGGTGTATGGAGTAGGCGGGGCTCCAGGGGGTGCCGCCGGCTCTCCGGGGCCCAAGCGCAGCGGATCTGGAACTGGAAACACACTGAAGGTAAAGTCAGGCTCACTATTATTATTATTTTTGTTGTTGTTGTTGTTTTGAATTCCTATAATTAATGAATTATGATGACAAATCTTTTCACATATTTATTTATTTATTTTATGTTTCGAATATACTTCATTATTTTTTAGTAACTAATTTAATTTTTATTTTACTTTATTTTAGTTTTTTTATGTTAATTTTTTATAGATATTGATTTATGTACTCTCATTTATTTATTTACACACTGTATTTAGTTTATTATTTTTTATTTATGTTTATTTTATATTTCCCCATTTTTTATTTATTTTTCATTTTCATTTATTTTTTACTTTTCTTCATTAAGATT